AGGATAGCCTGACATTGATTAGATATTGAGCCAGGCGAATGCTGCCAGCAGATCCAATGACAGTAACCTGCCTATCAGTAGATCCTTCCACTGGGTTCGCAATTTTGATCTGCGCCCCAGACATCTGATGGATCTCATTGATTTTGGCGCCTTGACGCCCAATTATGCAGCCAATCAAATCATTTCGAATGGTGAGTTCATGAGAAGTAGTCTGAAGAGACACATCCAAACCTGCCCAATAGCCTTTCTCCTCTGGAGAGCTGGATTCAATGCCACTAAATCCGGTGTTGGCATGCATCATAGGAAAATGAGACTTGCCTTGCCAACTGGTGCAGCATGGTCAAATCTGGCTCTGGAATGGCATACTATCTTTGAATGGTGTAGGCCTGACCACCTGCAAAGATGGAGAACTGGATGGCTTGGGCCGCTACGGGATGGCCACGCCCTTGTGGGGGGGTACTCCAACATGACCATGCAGATCTGCTTGGCACACTCAGTGATGGATTGCAGAATGCCAGCAATAGTGATGGCCCGCTCAGTTGAGTTGGGAAGCATATCTCCAGCCACCCGGACCTGAGCCCCTGTACTCTCTCGAATTTCCTTGATTTTGCAACCACCTTTCCCAATGAGAGAGCCACCCTGACTTGCAGGGACCATCAGCCTCAGGGTGACTGGGGGTCCATTTGTCATAGAGCTGCTGCTGATCTCTTCCAGTTTGTCAATGATCATAGCCAAGGCTTTAAAGATGGCATTAGTGGGTCCATTCAAAGTGATCATTTTCTCAGGACAATTTCCTTCTGAGATATTGATACGTGCACCACTCTCTTCGCGCATTTTCCTAACCGATTCTCCTTTCTTTCCGATGATGCTGCCAACTTCCTTTCCATGCTTAAGTAGCCAGATGGTGAGCGTGACATTACACCCACCTTCGATCACACCGGTGTCCATGTCGAGCAGTGTTCTGGGAAGCTGGACTTTGAGTGGTCACGTCTTTGGTCACTGGAGGGGGTGAAAGCCAAAAACTGCAGGCGCGAGGTGACTGAGGGACAAAAGGAGCAGGTGGGAAGGGGAAGGGCAGAAGGCTGGGGGGCAGGACAATAGGGGTGGGAGGGAAGGCGAGGGGTCCCTGCAGGGGCTGGAGGAGGAGGAGGAAGGGGGAACAAGACTCCCGAGACTCCCGGCAGGTGGGGGGCCCAGGCAGCGGCTGCTCTGGCTGCTACCTCGCTGGTTGGGCAGCAAGCTCATTAACAACCTGTGGTATGCAGACGACATATTGCTTGCTGAAAATGAAGAAGGATTTAAAGCACTTACTGATGACCAATATTTTAGTATGAGTTATACTTCAACATAAAGAAACCAAAAATACTCAAAACAAGACTAATAAGCACCATTGTGATCAACAGAAAAGATTGAAGTTGTCAATAATTGCATTTTCCTTGTATCTATAATCGATCCCCATGAAACAGTAGTCAAGAAATCAAGGGACATATTTAATTGGATAAATCTATGGTAAAAAGACCTTT